GTCGGTTGTAATGTTAGATCACACGATCAGGAAGGGAATACGCTGGAAAATGGGCTCTCTTTGTATTCTTTCCCCACCTGGAAGCATCACGAGGGAGCTCGCGTATCGATGTTACCAAACGAAGGCGTCTAGCCTGGATAGCAGCTGTGAGACGAGCTCCAGTTCTCTACCAGCCACAGATATCTGTTGGTGCTCCAGACATTTTCATTCAGGTAAGATCTAAATAAGTTCATATCACTCTTTATAGCCTATTAGTTTTATTTTCTATGCGCTCTGAGGTCGTAGCAAATTAGAACAAACATCCTACTGAGTGATTTTGCAGAACTACCTTCTATTTATAAAGTTGCTAATTGTTTTTCATTATTGCAGCAAACCAGCCAATGAAATGGATGAAACAAACCCTGACTGGGTTCCAGCGCTACACAGGGGGCGCTACGAAATCCCTGCTTCAAACTGCACGCTACATGCCAATCAGATTACTTCTTCCATGTGAGGGTGAAGAGGGGACCCTCCTGGATAAGATGGTGAAGGTTTGCTGCGTTTTGGTGAAGATGTGCCCCAGTGTGGCAGTAAAACCAGGGAAATGCTCTTGTTAAATACTCTTAAAAGTCTTGTGCTCTTTATGTAGTGACAGGTTTTCAAAAGAGACAGTAATTTACAGAATGCTCGTAGTGGGTGATATTATTTAAATGCTGTCATGATTTTGTCATTTGTGCACTATAAACGACGTGGATTCCACACTGTTACTGATGTGATGTTCTACAGAGTGGGTTTCATTAAAAACAAAAAGGCAAAAATGAGTTTGTTTCTTTATTCAACGTTTGAACAGTGGCACTCAGTCAGTACATATTCAGTAAATGCAAATTATTTACATGCCCCCTAAACATTATGGGATATTCAGAACAGAACTATGCTTGGAGAAATATTTTCCCATTAGTTGATCCTCCACAGTAGCAGGTGGGGTTTTTCTGTTTTGAGGACGGCTCCTTTTACCTGTCACTACAGATGGTCTGTTTATGTTTTGATCGAGAGCCTTTTTTTGGGCAGCTGAAGAGGAGAAGTCTATCTTATGGCCAACCTCTGGCTGTATCTTGGTCACATTACCCAGCAAAACCCAGTATGCAGGTTCATCTGTAACAGTCCTTGTGCCACAGATCAACACTGTTGCTTCTACTTTAAACAGAAGAGCAGTGACGTGGGTGCAGGTCTCCGCGACTCCGGCGTTACAGCTGCAGTGGGCGGCTTCAACCTTCCCTGTGATGCTCACAGTGACCCATGGCTGCAATGCTGGTTCATTCAGTCTTTGAGAGTGCAGCACCTGAAACACACACAGACAAAGTTCATTTAAAGACAAGAACTATGAGCCAAGGCCGACGTAAATGTGTTTTATCTACTTTCAAATCCATTTATCACAAATGTAACAATGAACGTTAGTTTGCACATTTTTAATAATTTTTCCTTTTTTTATGTATCCATCTATACAATGCTGCATGGCGTAAATCTGCCTGTTTGTGTTTTTAAATCTGCCAGCGAAAAATGAACCTAATGAAACACATACACGCAATGACATAACACACCAACTTAACACAGACTGGGGGACACAGAACATAGGAACATGAACCATGAAACAGAAGAGTATAAACACCCAAGGTAACCAAAACCACAGAATACTAATAAACTAAACAAACACGGAGTCGCAGACTCCGAACCATGACAGGACCCCCCTCCCCTCAAAGGCTGGCTCCAGACAGCCCAACAAGAACAAAACAGCCAGAAAAAACAGAAAACAACCCGACCAGGGCGGGCGGCGGGGGTCCAGGACGGAGGGCTCGAGGCAAAACAAAAAAGGAGCACCAGAAGGCCAAAAGACAAAAAGAAAAACAAAACACGAGACCCAACCCAAGAAAACCAATGAAACGAAACACACCACAGCCCAAGAAAAATGGAGTCCAAAACAGAAAGGTCCAGGGGGCCAGCCAGGGGGCCGACAGCACAGGAGTCCAAGACAAAAGAGTTCAGGGGGCCGACCGTGCGGACGGCAACGGCGTGGATACAGTTCGGGAGGCCACGGCGGCGGCAACGGCGGCGGCAACGGCGGCGACGTGGATACAGTTCGGGAGGCCGGCCGTGCGGACGGCAACGGCGGCGACGTGGATACAGTTCAGGAGGCCGGCCGTGCGGATGGCAATGGCGGCGACGACAGCTCTGGTCCGGGGGCCGGCCGCGCGGAAGGCAACGGCGGCCACTCAGGCGATGGCGGTCCGGGGGCCGGCCGCGCGGAAGGCAGCGGCGGCCACTCAGGCGAAGAGACCGGACCAGGCGGGGAGGCAGGCGATGACGGGGCCGGACCAGGCGGGGCTGCAGAGGCTGGGGCCGGACCAGGCGAAGCACAGGCCGGGGCCGGACCAGGCGAAGACGAAGACTCGGATGAAGCCGGACCAGACGAGGACGAAGACTCGGATGAAGCCGTACCAGACGAGACTGAAGATGAAGCTGCAGCAGGCGCTGGTGATGAGGCCGCAGCAGGCGCTGGTGATGAGGCCGCAGCAGGTGATGAGGCCGCAGCAGGTGATGAGGCCGCAGCAGGTGATGAGGCCGCAGCAGGTGATGAGGCCGCAGCAGGTGATGAGGCCGCAGCTGGTGATGAGGCCGCAGCAGGCGAGGATGATGAGGCTGCTGGCTGGACGGGCTCCTCGGGCCCTCCAGCTGACGAGGCAGGAGGCTGGACGGGCTCCTCGGGCCCTCCAGCTGAAACAGGAGACAAAGGCCGGAGCGGTCCCTTGGACCCTCCAGCAGAAACAGGAAACAAAGCCAGCAGGCATGGAGTCCTCTGGCAGACACGAAGACAATGGGTGCTGTACTGAGCACTGGCCCTGCTCAGACAGCACTGACACGGAGTTGGTCTCTGAGGGCTGCTCAATCTTCAGGGGTCCAGAATCAGCTGGGGACCGAGACCTAGCCTCTGGGGAAGCCCTGGAGTGCAGAACGGTGCCTGAAGCAGCTAAAGCGCGAGAAACTCCCTGACTGGACCTTAAATTTTCTCCCTGCATGGAGTGAATGAGTGGAACCGGTAATGCTGGAGCCAGAGCTACGGGTAGCGGGGGCACTGGAGCTACTGGGGCCTGCGCTACAGGCGGCACTGGAGCTACTGGGGCCTGCGCTACAGGCGGCACCGGAGACTGAACTGAAGGAGGCACTGGAGACTGAACTGAAGGTGGCACTGGAGACTGAACTGAAGGTGGCACTGGAGACTGAACTGAGAGGAGCACTGGCTGCGGGGGAGCTAACTGAGCTGAGAATGGCTGCGGGGGAGCTAACTGAGCTGAGAATGGCTGCGGGGGAGCTAACTGAGCTGAGAATGGCTGCGGGGGAGCTAACTGAGCTGCCGGTAGCTGCACAGGTGATAAGCAGCTCGCGTTGACATCCGCCACACAAAACACAGCCCCTGAATGAACAGTCAAAAAGTCTGGAAAAGACACAGAGTCCTCACTCACCACAGCCGGGGAATTAGAAGTCCGAACATCCGGCTGTGGGGTGGCGCGCCGGCGGCGCGATCTGTGTTTCCTCCCCGCAGACAGCTCCGACGGGCCGGGCAAGATCACATCCAGCGAGTCGGGCAGCGAGGCAGGAGCGGCTGAGAGAAGGTGGGGTGTGTGCCGGAGAAAAGCCTGCACGGTCGGAGGAAGCAAAGTTAGAAGCCATGGCAGGCCGGAAAAGAGCCGTTGTAGCCAACTTTCCACGGCGCGGCGAAGCTCCTCTGGAGGGTCCTCAAGCCACAGCCCGAGGAGAATCTCCACGTTATATGTAACGTCGTCCCGGAGCTCCTCGGACGGATTTACTGCCGCTGGGTCCATGGGGGCTGGTTCGTACTGTCACGGATTGCCGGGGCAAGCCGTGTGGAATTGTAGAAAGGGACCAAAAGGTGGCAGCTCTGGTGCAGGTGAGTGTTTATTCACAGAGGTGGGTAAGTACAAACAACGGTGGCGACAAAACATGAAACTGGAAACCTAAACTGGGTAAACTAATAAGACAAACCAGAAACGAGGATGCAGGGAGGTCCGGAGAAATACATACGGGAAGACGCAGGGAGACCGAGGGGAAACAACACAGACGAACCAGCAATTACTATGACAGAAGACACAACTTAAATACACTCAGAGAACACAGGGAGATTACATACAGGTGGGAACACAGCTGGGAGTGATCACGTGACGAAAGTAGGGAGACAAACTGAAACACTCACATAAGACGCAGACCTTCACAATAAAACAGGAAACACATACACGCAATGACATAACACACCAACTTAACACAGACTGGGGGACACAGAACATAGGAACATGAACCATGAAACAGAAGAGTATAAACACCCAAGGTAACCAAAACCACAGAATACTAATAAACTAAACAAACACGGAGTCGCAGACTCCGGATCATGACACTTAAAGTATGTAATGCAAGGATGTCATCACTGTCAGGATGGAGAAAACATAAAGCGCTTTATAAATGCAATCCATTATAAAGTTTGACTTTTATGAATCAGTTAATATGATAAGGAGATTCTGCAGGTCATTAATCAATGTATAAAACCAAAATAAAATGTGTTTTTAGTGACACAGCACAAACACGGAAGCAAGATGTGTAATTAGGATTATTTATAATAAATATGAATTCATTAGTGCAATTTCTTTAACCATAGAGAATAACTAAATGCGTCAGGACAATGTCACATCAGTGCACTGAACTCACTATGTTTTCCCTCTAACAGCCTCCACATGTTCTCACTGTAATTTCCCCTCATGTATGAATTCATGCTGCACTAATCTGAATGTTCGGGGGGAATCAAACGCATGTTACTCGCAGCAATCTTCCTTCCAACACAGTGTGTTTGTTTTGATTCGTGGCCTGCTAAAAGGGGGCCACACGTATAGTTTTCTATATGAGATCGCTGCAAAAAGTGCAGCCTTACCTACACTCAAAAAAATGAATGAGGTGGATTGTTCAGTGTATATTAATTATTTATTTTCATTTTACTTAAAATATATGTTTTTGTTAAGTTAACATATGTTTTTCTAATCAAGTCTACGTAATTGTGTCTATTATTCAACGTACATAATACTAATGTGTTACTTGATCGCATAACATTTAAGTTAAGTCAATTAGGATCGATATACCTTGTATATCCACAAGGTGGCAGTAATGCAAAAACAGTTGTAATGAAACCGCGCAGAACAAGAAGGTTTCACGGCTTGTGCCTGCTCATGCGCAAGACTTCAAATTTAACTGAAAAAGGCTGTTTTGGCGCCAAGCTGCTGTTTCTTTGAGAGGTAAGACCACTTTTTTTCTTTGACTATGTTGTGTAGTATCTATATGTCCAGCATGGTTATATTTTGCGTTTGTCTTACAAGACATGTTATATCGTTTGCGTGCGCTTGTTTTACATTAGTTTTACTGGGTCCTGGACATGCTTATTTTGTGGACTGTGTAAGAAACATTTTTATTGTTTTTTGTTTTATTAAGGGATTAGCTACAGGGTTCATGGGTTATTCTTTCAAGGGGTTATTTTTCCATTTGCTTTCTTGGGATTCCTTTTCTGTAATCCGAGAGTCGGAAATATCGAATAGGATAGCAAGGATAGCATAAAGTGACATTTAAAATCCAAAAAGTCAAGGGCGAAAGCCACTGTGACACCATTGTTCTGCTCTATCAGTAATCTGTATTATGTAAAAATGGTCTGTAAATACAGCATGTTTCCTAGCGGAGTTATACATATCAACATAGTTATAAATTACAGTTTGTTAAAGTACACACTTAATTTTTTTAATAAAATTATTCAAGACATATGAGTGGACAGACAATGGAGGTCGACAGACCTGGTGATAATTGCTTCTATAGAAAGTTAGCACATGGCAGTGTCAATCTCTTGCTTTTCTTCTGAGTAGTATTTTATTTAGTTGTAATTCAAACAATAATTTGCTTCTTGAAATTAAGTAATGAATTTCTTGTTTTACTTTATAAATCTCAGATCCTGCCTTTACCTGCTCCCTCCTATACTGATGTGGTGTATGTGGTATTGCTGAGCTTGTATGTGGTATGTGAACTGTTATACTTTTAAAAACAAAACTGTTTTATAAGTTAAGTTTTCTTTAGTGACCCATCCCATGCCCCTGTTATTTCTTCTCCACATCTGAACCATGGTTGCAGTTCAAGGGCCTGAGGCATGAAATTCTTTTCAGATCAGCTGTGATCAATATTTTTTGGAACTTGATAAATAACAATAAAAGCTGTAATGGCTCCATTAGCATTTTGTGTAAATGTTTGTGTTAAAATTATAGCTTTAATGAGGTCTTACTACATTAGTTTTAGTTTGTATATGTGTACATATAGTATGTATATTTACAGTACAGTATGTTGTGTTTGTTGACATATTTTCAGGTGGAAGCAGAATATGTGAGGATTACTACTGCTCCACTTGTTCCAAGGCTTTTTACACAACTTGACCAATACACCAATGACCAGCTCATAAAAGTCTTCAAGAAAAAAGGAGGCGTTGCAGGGAAGAAAATTAGACAAACTTTGGCCCCTGCCACACAGGTGCGTTATTCTGTTGGTAGCAAAATATTATGGCTAATAAGATCATTTTCAAATTTAAACAGCTAGTGTATGGTAGCTGCACAGTGCACTTACATTTATATTAAGCAAGACAAAGTTTGGTACTCAAAACGTTGGAAAATTTAAATTACCTAAACATATGTAAAATCTGATCCTTTGATTTAGGTTAAACCAGAAGTGAATGTTTTTATGTTATGTTTTGAATGCAAAAAAGATGATGTATTAGTTTGTCTTTACCTCCATTATGGACATATATAATGTGGTGGAAACCCTGCCCAACAGGTTAACTATTCATGTCCATGTGATGATTAGTTGGTCTTGTGTACATGTCTATCTGTGCAGTGGATATGTCATTCATTTTGCGTATAATGTGAGTTTCTGTCATCCTAAAGTATATCTGTTTTCTCTTCCTGTATCTCTGCCACTCTCTACAGAAGGAAACCATTGAAAAGGGGAGGGAGTGTGTCCTCAGGGCACTACCTTTTTACCTGAATGAAGACCCAAGCATCCTCTTCAAAGAATAATTGGTTGGTAATTTTAGTTTAGTTTTTTATCTGTATTAAACCAAATTTTGAATAACTAATGTTGTTGCATGTTGTTGTTGTTGTAATTTGCATGGAACCTGTTTAAATGTTTTGGGAAATCTTCTTGTATACCCAAACTATTTATATTTATCGTTGAATCTGTAGTCTGAAATAGTGGCGCACTGGGGTGCATGTTCCTAATATTGTGTTTACGTCATTAAAGGGTAGCTTTGGCCCTTTTTCTTTCTTTTTTAAAAACTGGATGCCATTTTTCTATGTTTTTTCATGTGTCTAAGCTACAGCTGTTCAGAGGGAGCTGGAACAAATTACCCTTGCTATCTTTACCATCGAAAGAGCTGATGCCAGCCGATGTGGGTATAACCATCTAGTGTGTCCTGCATGACCTGGAAGACCTGGCCTCTGCATGTGCACTCTTAATGGGTGGGATATATGCACTGAATCTCAGTTAACCTCAAGACTGAAAGCTTTCTTTGAAGTACTTCAGAAGCTCTTCCTTCATCTGTATGTCAGCATACTCTTGACCAAGGTACAGTTGCTCAAGAATACACTGAATGAATAAGCCAACCTTTAATTTGGATGATGAATGTTCTGTCAGATGGACAGAAGTTTTTCGGAAGCTGAATGGGAATAAAATGGTAATTTGTAAATGACAGATAACGGGAAAATTACATTTAAGAGAAATTTAGAACATTTTGAAAAGTTTGTAAACTACTACAATTTGAGAGATTTTACTGTTGTGGGGGGGCTAGTAAGAGACAATCAAAAGTATTGAGATTTAAAGGATTTAATTGAGAGATGATACTGCACCAGAAATGTTGAAGGGTGGTGTGTATATTAGCGTTCAAGGCATATTGTTATGAGGTGGAAATATGTTCATATTCAGTTTGTGTTACATTGTGTGCATTGTAAAGGTAATTGTAATACATACTAAAATTAAGGGTAAGTTAGGAGGTTGATCTGATATCCTCGTGTTGGTGTTGTTCCCAGATCATCATACTAAATGTTGTTCCAGGATCAACATTGCAAGTGACCAATCAGAATGTTGTGACGTCATACTTTTGCGACTTCGGGAAAAACCGGCGTAAAACAAAAAACTGTACTTAAGCTGCGTGAAACCGCCTCTGTCCACCGATCAACTGACCCTAACCCTAACCGTAACCCTTTAATAAACAGTAAGCAGAATTGATATTGTCCTTGCAACATTGGAATTTCATAAATGCACGAATGGCTTGGCGCGCAAAAGAATAACATCACAACAATGTGACAACATTTTCATGATGGTCTGGGAACAACACCAACACGAGGATATCAGATCATCCAAGTTGGGAATGCAGGATGAATGTATATTTTGTGGACTTTTAAAGACGAACAATTGTTTCCATGTTAAAATGTTTACATCTGAAGTTTTTTGCCCAAACACTAGTAAAATAAATGTTGACAGTGGCAAGTGTTAAATGGTTACTGCTGTGCTGTTGCAAAAAAACTGAACGCTGACAAGCTGTTTTATTGTTAGACCATAATGTTGGCATGTTTTGTTAAAGTTTTATTTGGGATGGTGATGTAATTTTCTTTGATTGCTAATATCAGTGGACTATTTATTATTATTATTATTATTATTATTATTATTGTTATTGTTGTTGTTGTTGTTACATTTTTTTTTTTTTTTAAATTGTGGCTGTTGAGGTGGACACTTCACTTTGCATTGTTAAAGGAAAGCACTTCATTGGCATTGTGTTACTGGACTGACCCTAAGCAATCATTGCAAATAGCAACTTTGCTATCCATTTTAGACACTAAAAGAAAAAAACACTCACAGACCTTACTAGCATCACATGTGCATAACTCAAGTGTCATCTTATCAATGTGTTATGTGATCTTCAATGTGTTTTTTTTTTTTTTTTCTCTTCTATTTCTGGTAGATACAGACATTTAATTTAAAGTCTTGATGTTGCATCTGTCTACATACTGTTAATTACTAACCCTAATGAGCTGTTGTGTTTTATTTTGGACTGGGTTTACACAAATGCTCACTGAATGTGTTGGCAATAAAAGAAATTTTAAAAAATAAGTTGGATGTACTTAATTCATTTGTGTGGAACCTGTTGACAAAATAGATTTATGTAAAACTAATTAATAAAGCACAAGGTGGCTGAAAATATAATATTTGAATTAATCTAACTTAAATTTAACATTTTACTGCCACAAATAAGAAATGTGTTGAAGTAACTAAACTATCTAACCTGAAAATATATCATCTATGTTCATACAACATAACTTGATTTAGTTAGTCTTAAATATGTCTTGTTAATCTTAAGTAGTTTTTTTAAATTAGATGAACTAAAGATTTTTGCTTTAAACTAACATAATTCAATTTCGTGGAACCTGTTGACAAAATAATTTTAATTAAAGTCAACGTTTCATTTTTTTTGAGTGTAATGTCCACCTACTGTTACTCATTTATATTAAGATTTAAACATCTAGCTGGTGTTGGTATGGAGAGCAACCTTCAGTAATAGTAATAAATCACAGCAATAGTTCATTCATGTAGTTGTAAAAAGCATGATAATATATTAAGTAATCCAAAGTATTCAGAATACGTTACTCTCATTGAGTAATGTAACAGAACATGTTACAAAACACATTTTGGGGCATGTAATCTGTAATCTGTAGTGGAATACATTTTAAAAGTAACCTTCCTTCCTCTGACTGCATCACATGAATAAAAAGTATAATCATTTTCGAAAAAGCTCCGGGTTCGCTGTCCACACTGCGATGCGAAAACAGAGCGTTTTCAAATGTATCCAGTTTGGAGAGCGTTTTCAAAACGCAGCGTTTTCCTTGACGGAACGCCAAAACGGAGAGAAAAAGATGTGTTTTCAAACAAAAACGAATTAGTGCGGACGTAACCTCAGTTAAGGAGTCCCTGATGTGCAAATGGCATCATCTGACAGGACACCGGACTGACACACACACACACACACACTCTCATAAACAACCCAGTGTCATTGTTTTGTTCTGTTTTTCGCACACTTGCACTTGTGCTGTTTGATTCTCTTTCACATGTAGCACCATGGTCTACGTTGTCTCGCTTCACTGTGTGCTGGACCCCTGCACATGGTTGGAATGACAATAAAAGCCACTTGACTTGAAAGAAGAGGCTGAAAGTGGATCAGACATGAGCCAAGGGACCATCTGAGATGATCCACAACACCAGGTTAGTCTCTATGTGACTAACCTGGTGTTGTGGGGAGAGCCTCAAGCATCCTGGGTCCTGGACACCGTGAACCCACAGATGGAAAAATCGACTGCTTCTTATAAAACACTCTTTCTATCTAACATGTGTTTGAGGCTACTCTGACATGCAGGCCGGCACAGCCAGGGATCGAACCATCAACCTCTGCATTAGTAACTGAGCCTGTAGCCTGTAGCAAAAGCTCCTGAGCTCTAGCTTTTGTCTGTAGCTCCACTGTAAGTCTTTAAAAGCTGGGCTAAAAGAACAGTGCTGATCCAGAGAGGATACACTCACATGAAGCAGTGTGAGAGGTTAGTGTATGTTTCCTGAGTGGGAGCTGCTCTAGGGAGAACAGTTGGGTATTTGTTGCTTTATGCTGGGCACATTATGTATCTTTGGTTGTATTGTATGTTTGCCGTTGTGAGCGTGAAATTCGAGTTTGCTCGTGTAAAACATGAAATTCAAATGAAGGTATTTGTATGTAAGCGAGCGTGTGGGGAATGTTCCTGAAGCCTGTTTGGAAATGTTGTTCTCTGCAGATTTTCCTCTGGAGGTTTGGTTTTGGAAATGGGATGAATGCTAAGCTGGAGCAGGGAATAGTCATTAGCAGAGATTAGCAGGTGTTTGGAGAGTTGCAGCTTTCTTCCAACGAAGGGTTTCAAAACAGGATTTTCATCTGTGGTGCATATTGTATAATAATGTTTATATATCGCAGCAATGCAGTAATGTTCTGGGATGTTTCGAGCTGGCACAGATATAAAGGACTCTGGGGCTTCCTGCTGTTTAATCTGTGGAGAAAGCATTACAGGAGGAGAGCCTCCACATCCCAGCGACCCAAGTGGCCCAATCGGCATCTTCAGAAACTCAGCAGGGGAGCGAGGAGAAGGGAGGAGGCGTCCACGGAGAATGACCTGTTTATAGGCTTGGCAGTGATTAGATGGAAGCAAACAGGTCACTTCCTGTCAGAGAAGATGCGGGAACCACTGAATTCCTTTGATTGTTCATACAAGCTGACGAGTCCACTCCACATCACGTTTGTGTGTCACACCTTACTGTAACATCACACATGATAAGCGCCTGGAGGCAGCTGTTGTTGTGATTCGGCTCTACATGAATAAAG